GTTCTCATCCTGAAACAAAGTTCTTAACCCGAGGTACTATTTCTGGGTTAGTGGAGTCTGTAACCTGAAGCGTATGTAACCTGAAGCGTATGTAACCTGAGGTACCACTGTATAATAATATTAAGCTGTAAGAAGTCAGCTAGATAGGTCTTTATGTATATACCGTACTTTCCCATGTATAAGACGAGGTTTTTTTAGTATGAAAAAATGTTCAAAATTTGGGCTCGTCTTATACACGGTTAGTGCAGAGGGGTGATGGGTGATTAGTTGCAGCCGTGAGCAGGAGGTTGTCAGCGGCAATTGGGTGGGTGATTGATGTCTTTGGCAAGGGCTTCTTTGGATTGGCTGCTGCTGTGTCCATTGGGTCGTTGATTGGTGGCTGTGGCAAGGTCTGCTGTGGATTGACTTCCACTGCGGCAATTGTGTGTGTGCTTGGTGGCTGCTGCTGGCGATCGGGCAGATGCTTAGTGGCTTTTGTGATGTGTGCGATTGGCAGCATTACAGTCCAGTGAGTGATTTTTGGCATTCCCCCTACAAAAAAGTTCAAGTATGAGCAATCCCCCCCCCAAAAAAGCTTAACAACTTTGGGCAAACTGCCCCCCATTTTCTTAAATTGGATTCCCCCAAAATAGGGGACATTTTATACACGGAAAAATAAGGTGTATATATAAAAGAGACAAAAGTAATGGATATTCTGAAATAATGAATGCTTATCAAAAGACCGGAACTGCTATAAAACAGCTTTGGCTTGTGCAAACTGTGGCACAGTGGCTGAGAGAGCAATGTTTTGAGCAATGTCCTTGGATAGGATAGCAAGTGATGTGAGCCTTTCATCTGCCATGGTAGATCATGAATACGTTTCAGTAAGCCTCACTTTTCAGAAGCTACGCTTGCTGCTGACAACTCGAAGTGTCAGGAGAAATTCTACTGCTATCCAGACGTTTGGGAATACGAAATTTGTTTCGCTATAATGGATTTACTGCAGGGCATCTTGTGAGTTTTCCAGGAGGTAGCATCTGATGGCCCAGCTCAACACAAATATCTGCATCATCAATGTCAGAGCAGTTGCCATTTGTGAGATCCATATACTGGTTGGTAAGCTTCTCTTCTGGTAGCTTTTCAAGGCTGTACGAGAGTCTCCGTGTGAGATTCAGGCTGCTCAAATCACACTTCAGCTGAAACACGAGCGGAGTCAGAGTGTAGAACTGCTTGAAAATTTCTGCTAGACCATTGCACTCATAATCATGAATCTGACCCTCATACTCAAGCTGCCGCATCTTGCAGTACTTATGTGGGGGCTCCTCAAAAGTGGAATTGACATCAAGGACCTCTTTTGCTGTGATAATGACTCCTGCATCACTGCTTTCCCTATATGAGATGAACTCCACACATTTTTTTGTGAGGGAAGGAGCAGTTGTGATGTCCATTGTAAGGCATCGTGTAGTTTTAGTTGCAGTATATACGTGGAACATATCATACCTTGATATCAAGTCCATCAGTTGGCCTGCTAGGCACTGTGCTTCATGGTAAAGACCTGTGTTTGCTTGAGGTGACTGCTAGTTCCATCAGAGCATCATAAACTTACAGTATTTTGTTTTCATACTAAATAGGCTTCATACTGCCTTTATGAATTTTGTCAGTGTCTACTCAGGAACTTCATAGTGAGGTTGGATTCATGGTCTTTTAGTATCTGCCACCATTGAACAGAGAATAGCACAACAGGTTTGTACATCTAAAATTCATTCTTCCTTACTGGAGCTCTTATTAATCCTAAATTTTCTACTTAGGATTGCCTTTTGCATCCTTCTATTAAAGATTAAAGAGCAGCTTCGTCACGCTGGCCACGTGACCTGGAAATGTCTGCGGACAGCGCTGTCCCCCGGCCTCTAGAGTGAGATGGGCGCACAACCCTAGAGTCTGTCAAGACTGGCCCGTACGGGCAGGGGTACCTTTACCTTTACCTATTAAAGACTTGGTCTTTAATGAGTTTAAGCAATGTTTCATCCCAGTTGTTTCTCCAGCACATTTCCTTGGAGATGCCATGTTGATAATGGACTCCAAGTACACATCATCTCAGACGCTTCCAGCACTAAGAGCTATCAAACTTGATACATATTACTTTAATATGGAAGGTGTATATTAAAGTGAAATATCTGATCTTACTCATACTTTCCCTCGGATAAAAACTGAAAATTATTGTGTGGAACTTAACTGCATGATAAAAATGTTCAAGACAATATAAATTCTCATTGTGGCAAAACTGGTTGGATGAGTAAAAACCATATTCTAGAACACCACTGCATAATAACTACAGTGGTACCTCGGGTTAAGTACTTAATTCGTTCCGGAGGTCCGTACTTAACCTGAAACTGCTCTTAACCTGAAGCACCACTTTAGCTAATGGGGCCTCCTGCTGCTGCCGCGCCGCCGGAGCACGATTTCTGTCCTCATCCTGACGCAAAGTTCTTAACGTGAAGCTCTATTTCTGGGTTAGCGGAGTCTGTAATCTGAAGCGTATGTAACCTGAAGCATATGATAACCCGAGGTACCACTGTACTTACTACTGTGTGTTCTGGTCAGAGCTCCTTTTCAGCATACAGGCTTCATATTAATCCCTATAAATAAAAGTGATCCATCTGTTTTGGTCCCTTAAGTATAGCTGGTGAATAAATTGCTGCCCACCCATAGATGGTGTGGCTATATAACCCAGTACACAAATCTGTTAAGTTTATGCTCAAAGAAATGTGTAGTTAAGTAGCCTGCAAACATTCACACCAAGCAGCCACTTGTGAGATTTGTATGCATTGAAGTGAGAATATATTTACTATATCAACATGGTCTTCATCCAGGGGAAATGTCTGCATTAGAGCCCTTTTACACAAAGCCAGGCCTCAATTACACTTTTTACTATTCAAAACTTGAAACTATTCAAAACTTCAACCCAACAGCAATATGTGTCAACTACAAAGCTTTGTGGTTGGCTAGCTAGCTTTGTAGTTGGTCAGAGGTAAAGATGGCCAACAAACTTTCCAAGATCATTTGCTGTAAGGTGGAAGTTAGGGATCTACTGCATAAGTGCCTAACAGCTTGCAGTATGATTTCATCAGTGGAGAATTGTGGTTCATCAGTGATCACAGCTGCATTACATTCTCTTTTAAGTGAATTGTCCAGGTTAGGTAGCAGGCTTTACCTCAAAAAAAGGTGAAGCAGACATGGGGAATCTGCAGCCCATAGGTCAGATTTGGCCTACCGGGATTCTTAATTTGGCTTGTGAGACTGTTTTGCCTCAGCTATGCTCACTGCCTCACGTCTGAGGTGTTGGATGGGTAAAGGCATAGTTCAAAGGAACACCTGGGAGCCAATTATTCCTTTAAAAGCTTCAGAGTTTGTTGCCAAATGTAAACACCACTGGGAACAGCTTCACTTAGGAGCTGCCAACTGGAGCTGATCCCTATAGACTGCAAGCTGCATCTTCAAAGGATGGCTTGAAGGAAGTTTAAACCAATTCATGTCATCACTCCATTTTTGGATGCCTTTGAATACCAGTTTCTGGGAATCACGTAGGGAAGGCACTGTAGCTCAAAGGTTCTCGGTTGTGGGCTTTCCCTAGGCATCCAGCTGGCCACTGTGAAACATTTTTTTCATGTGGGGATTGGAACCTAGCTCTCACCTACTATACCAATTTTTTAATTTTATTAAAAGCTGGCAGTGTGGATACCTGTGTACCTGCAGCAGTGTGTATGTACCTTGATCTGCTAATTTCATTTTTCTCAGCACCCTATTTCTTACAGCTATTATGATCACACTTCTATACTTGATAGAGGCAAAGTTGATCTTTTATGCCTTGTTTTTTATTTGTACTACTGTGGTATTTCAGAGTTGGCATGCTGCATCAGGCTATCATTTTGTTTTGAGTAATGCCTCTCAGTTTGACCATCCCAGGTCAGTTTCATCTCCATGTGTTTGAATTTCAGTTATATGTGCTGTTTTATCAAAAATTAGCTGCAAGTTTTAGTAGTTCTCAGGCCACTTCCTCACTTCGTTACCTTTGACCCTGCTCTTTCACGCATGGGGCAGTCTCCATTTACACAAGTGACTGAACATGATTCAGCAGCTCAAAAGCATCCATTTCCTTAATGCTTACTAGCAGAGAATGGGAGGCTGTGAAGCTGTGGTCCTGAAAGGTGCTCTAGTTCCTGCTGGGCTACTTATGCCATCAGACTGTTCTGACTTGCATTATTATTATTACTAATAATAATAATTTATACCTCACACATCCGGCTGGCTCTCCCCAGCCATTCTGAGCGGTGTATAGTGCATATAAAACCATAGCAAAACGTCAAACATTAAAAACCTCCCGATACTATTCTAGCTTCCTCAGAAGTTTCACAATCTCTGCAAACTACACAATAAAAGAACTATGAAGCTGTTCTTGTTTCCATGTGCATTTTAGGATTCTGTACTATTTAAAACACTGCTATTGCGGGCCAAAAGAGGGAATTCTTCAAAGTCCCAGTTTCTTCCCCAAGTAGCCACGCAGGAGTGTTCCCTGCCTTAAAGGGTGAGGTTGCCTTCCTCCTCGTCGTCTGCCTGAAGCAGGCATTTCATCTTCCAACTTCTCTGGCGGAGGGACATATAAACTAGACTCGCCATAGGAAATTCCCCCTGGATGGCCGAGCCTCGAGAGCAGCGGGCATCCTTGCTTTCATCGTAAAAAGTAAATACTCTTTTAAGATGGGAGGGACGGGGGACGCGCGATGGCAGAGCGCGCGCTGCTGCTGCTGCAGTATTTGGCACCAAGTCCCTCTTGAGGTTTTTGCGAATTGACAAGAGCTCGGACTGCTCAGGACGACGAAGGATCATCAAGAGGAAGAAATCCAGTAAGTCGGTGGGGGTTGCAGGTGGCGGAGCAGCAAGCAGCAGCCCCACCGGCCGAGCTCGGGTAAGGAGAGCTGGCACAGGGTGGGAGAAGGATGGGAAGGGAAGGGGAAGAGGAGGAGCTTGCGAGGCGGCGGCGGCGGCAGCTCCAGCAGCAAGCAGAAGCGGCAGTGTCAATAATACAATAGGGCTCTTGTGCCGCCGCCTGGCCTGCCAAGAGGGAGACTGCAAGGGCACAGGGCCTGCTCGCCCCTACGAGCGACAGGGGGGACGGCGGGGGGCGCTCGCGGCGACAGGCTTGGCCAAGCGACATGCCGGAGCGCGGGGCTGGCGGCCCGTAGCCACGGAGCGCCCAGGCCGAGGCAGGCGGGAGCGGGAAGGGGAACGGCGCCGCGGCCGAAGAGGAACCGGGGAGGGCGGTGGGGAAGAAGAGGAGGAGATGGACGGCGTGAAGTAGCAGCGGCAGCCTTGGCCCCTGGGCTGGGGAGTCTCGGGGCGCGCAAACGCTGCTGGCGCCGCCCGCTCCAGAGCCACAAGGTGAGTCGTGGGGCGCAGAGCCGCCCGTGGCGCAAGGTTGCCTTGTGGGGTCGGAGAGGCGAGAGCGGCGTTTATTTTATTTTTTAAAAAACAGGTGGTCTCCTCTCCCGGGGAGGCTTCGGGGCGCTCGCCGGCGCGGCCTAGGTGGGCTGGGGGAGAAAGGAGAGAGGTGGCGGCCCGGGCCGGCCCTAGGCCGTGCGTTGTTGGGTGGCGCTTCTTCCCCAGTACTATTGCCCATCCCCGCCGCTACCGCCGCGTTGCGCGCGCCCCCTCCTCCTCCTCCCCGGGTGCAGGCGGCGTTTGGCGCCAAGGCCTCGGGGCTCGAGTCATGATGGCGGGGCGGGAAGGGGGCTGGGCGTGCAAGAGGTGAGCGAGGAAGAGGAGCGGCGGCGGCAGCAGCAGCAGCCCTAGCGCCGCCTCAGGTAGATGTTTACGCGTCGCGACACGTGGTTGTGCGCGCGTGGTTTGTGTATGTGTGGTGTCCAGCCATGTGGTTGCGAATGGGCCGGGCCCATAAGTTATCCTTTCTCTCCCCCCTGCAAAAAAGAAAATCCTGACTGAGTTGGGGGTGTTTTTTGTCTTCACGTGTTAAGTGATCAGAAGGATTCCGTGGTTGTGGGCGTTTTCCAGGCAGTATTTCTCCTCTGTATGTAATGTGGAACATCCTTTGTTCTGAAAAGTTTCTCTTTATGGCCTGATCTATTGCTATCTCCAAACCGGACGAGCCTGTGGCAAACAGTTAGTGACCTCACACCTAATGATCTGGGGTGTGCTGCTCAGTCCAGTGCTTTTTTCCCTAGAAAAAAAAAAGGTGCCGGTACTTACCATGAAGTTGTTAAAGTAAGTGCCACACTTTTTAACAACAAAAAGAGGTGCCGGTTCTGCGTACCCTTGAAAAAAAAGCACTGAGTAGATCTAAATGTTTTAGAGAACACATGTCATAGGCTTCACGTGCATGGGCTTTGTACACTGGTGTGGTGCCAAAAATGGCATTGCAATCCTGTGTATGTTTATTGTGGAGGAAGTCCCACTGAACATAATGTATGCTTGCGTAGGATTGCACCTTAACTGGTGGGTGTAATATTAGGTCTCAGGTTTTTCTAGCTAAGCCATGGAAGTGTTGTATGCTTCAGACTTATGCAGTTGAAAATGTTTGGCTGATCAGGATTTGTTCACTGCAGTTTGATTGCCTTCTAATACTAGATGCAAATCCTGTAGTGAAGTTCATATTAACTCATCCAGGAAACTATTCCAGCAGGTGTTGAAGAGACTAGTATTTGTGCGAGCTTAACTTGGGATAAAGAGCAACTTGGGGTGGGTTGTCATCCAGTCAGGTTTTGTTTTTGTTTTTTAGTTTAATAGAAATTTTAAAATTCAAAACCTATCATTAATTGATCAAATCATATTTATTCTACTTATTTTCATCCCCTATTACAGTATCATACCAGAACCAACATTTGCAAGTGTGCCTTCACCATTTAAAGTTGCCCCACTAATGTCGTTGTAATTCTGTACACACTTTGCTGAGAATAAGTCTCATCAAACTCTGAAACTTCTCAGTAGATATGTATAGGAATGCGCTATAATTAACTAAAGGCATAGTTGATTGAGTAAAGCTTTTCATGGAGAATATAGAAGCTAGCAAGTGACTTTCTGGGTTCAGTTGGTTTTTATATTATTCTTGGTCTTTATATTCCTGCTGGTAATAATTAGATAGTACCTACAGCTCACCTAGTGGAGCAGTGCTTGCATTAATTAGCTGCTTGACCTACGGTAACATTGATCATGATGCTACTCACGTTCTGGTAACCTCCTGTCTGGACTACTTCCACGTCTGCTATGTGAAGAAGCCTTTCAAAATGGTTTGGAAACTGTACTTCAGAATCCTGTCACCAAGCTGCTAACTGGGACCAGGTATTATGATTACATCTCACTTGTGTTGAAATAACTCCACTGGCTTCAGGTCTCTTTCCAAGCTCAATTCAGAATACGGGTGCTTGCTTTTATTAAAATTCTATGCAGCTTGGATGGAACCTGAGATATTTTTGGACAGTCTTTCTGTAACAGTCTACTTGATCACTGAGGTTGTCATCAGAAGGCTCTTTTTGTGATGCCACCACATTCTGAGGTACGTCAGGTGGTGTTGAAAGAGGATGATTTAAACAGGAGAAATTCCAGCTGGGAGTGGGGATGAGATACTAGAGCAGCTTAAAATTTGACTTTTGCTGTAGCCTTCCATATTGTGCTCATAACTTTGTCCCATTGACATCAGTGGCTCTTAATTCTGAACAAGTGTCTTCAGGGATGCAAGTGTGGCATGCAGAGACATAAAAACACTTTGGGAAATCAATGTACAGTCGTACTTTTGAAGTCGAACGGAATCTGTTCCGGCAGTCCCTTCTACTTCCAAAATGTTTGAAAACCCAAGCACGGCTTCTGATTGGCTGCATGAAGCTCCTACAGCCAATCGGAAGCTCCATCAGACATTCAGCTTCCAAAAACAGTTTGCAAACCGGAACAGTCACTTCTGGGTTTGTGGTGTTCAGGAGCCAAAACATTTGGGAACTAAGCTGTTCGAAAACCAAGGTACAACTATTAAAATTAAATTAAAAATGAGAACACCTTGTTTCTGCCAGCTGAAGGTTTGAGGCCTTTTCTGCCCCACATCACTGGCTACAATTGAACTGGAATTTGATAATGCAGAATAGTAATAGCTTTAAAGATTCCCGTGATAAATTTTCTTCCTTGGAGAACACCTGGGGACCCAAGGTTGAGAAAGACTGGTCTAGAGACAGTACTGAGCTAGATTAACCAATGGTCTGACTCAATGAAAGGTCTTCTATATTTTTCTGTACAGTGGTACCTCTGGTTGCGAATGGGATCCATTCTGGAGCCCAGTTTGCAACCTGAAAGGAACACAACCTACGTCAGCGCACGTGCAGGTCGCGATTCACCACTTCTGCGCATGTGCGTGATGTCATTTTGTGCACATGCGCAAGCGGCAAAACCCGGAAGTAACCCTTTCCAGTACTTCTGGGTCACCGCGGGGCGCAACCTGAAAACGCGCAACCTGAAGCAAACATAACATGAGGTATGACTGTATTCTATGTATTTCCTGTCTTCTATATTTTCAAAATCAATAGTCTTTTCAAGGGACATAAGTGCTTTATAGCAACAAATATTTTAAGTGTTATTTTAAATCCAGGCTGAAGGTTGGCTAGTTAGCTGTGGATGAAAAACGACTAGACAGCTGACCAGCAGATTGTTAGGCCTTGCCCAGGGAAGTGGGTTTGGCTTCAGGTTGGTGTTTGCAGTTTTCAAGCACTTCGGAAAGATTTTGGGAAACAAAATGCAACTTTGGAGGCAGGTGTTTGCCTCTTTACCATCATCCCTGACCACTGGTCATGCAAGCTAAGGATGATGGGAGTTGGAGTCCAAAAACAGTTGGAGACCCAAATTCGGAAAACCATGTTCTAGAACAAAGGTGAACTGTGTTGCTTTTGTTAAATTTCATGTGGTAAACAGACTGGCTTAGTTAGTTTCAAATGTAGCAATTCTAAAACATTGCCCTACTTTCTAATGAAATCTGAAAATGAAACAATTACACGATAGCAGCATCTTGGAGGAGAGCTGAGAAACCGAATGTGCCTGCCACGTCTTCATTTTTTTTTATTGAAAGAAGTCAAATGTGCCCCCAGTATTTATGTATGATTGCTAATCAATCCACTGCCCCTTACTGCAGTTCATTCTTCCTTCCTCTAAATATTTGACCCTTCTGTTAGGGAGAAAGTGAGCTTTATGCTTCAGTGATCTAATTTCAGTGTTTAAGATGTCGTGGGATGGCACTGGGACATATTGAGCATGTAAAAAGAACCGACATGAGTACTTTTCAGGTTATATTTTGATCTAGCAAAAGGAAGAGAATAAATGTTTCATGTGTCTATACAACTAAAACTGACATGAAGGCATAGTGCTTGTACATCTTTATTCTACAGGAAGAAAGATGCCTGAACATACTATAATACCAGAATCAAAGTAACTGATGAGTAATAGTTCAATACATTTTTCAGGTCTAGGGATATTAGCAACCACAGTAATTAACCATTGAATTCTTTTATTTTTGTTTCCCCAGCAGTTGACAGTTTGCATCAGTTATTTCTAGTATACCACTATAACTCATAATTGGTAGGTTTGGAGGTCAGATCAGGTAGGTCAGAAAATGTGCAAACTGTATAATTCCTGCAATTCACACCAAGGCTGATTGCAAGTTAATTTGTAGTTGGTGTGCATGTGAATTCAGAATCGCTGGGCATAAATGGTTGCTATCTCTGCTAATGCTCAGATTGATTGCAGTAACGTTTTACTTGCTAAAGCAAGTGAAAGAATCCCATTTTAAATACGCAATATATGTGTGCCAAATTATTTTAATCTTTCAGTAACTATTTGGAATAATATTTTTTAAAGGGTCATGAGATATATATTTTTTCTGGTAAAAAAAGTCACATGTCTCTCTTGCGTACTTCTTGTTTCAGTGTAATCATATGCAGGGTTACATGCTCAGAAGCAAACTCGGTTGAGTGCAATGGGACTTACTTATAGATAGCTGTGTAAGAAGGATTCCTCCACCACAACACTTGCTGCTCTACCACTTCCTCCTGCCAACAGCTGCAGCTACTCTTTTAAGAGCCATCCCAACTGTAAAAAAAGGAAGAGGGGAAAAAACCAGGAACAAAGAAAACTAGCCAAGAAGGGAGCATAGTGATGCATGATGTTGCAGGACGCATGATGATGGCAGAATGTGCACAACATGTTCTGCGATTGCACTTTCCAATACACTTGTGCAAAAATATTATAGGATCTCTTTGAGAAAGTATATTTGGCCAAGATTATACCAATAGTTTCTATAAATAGCGAGACAGTTACAATTTCTAGTGCACTAAGTTCATCCATCCTTAGTTATTTCTCTTAATCTTGGCTCTAATTTTTTCCTGCTTGTTATA